CCATCCCAATTTCTAAATACACAGTTGGAAAATTTGTATTAAATTTAACATATTTCATATGTGTGTTTAATTTAATAAAAATTTTCATAAATAGTCTACTCAAATTTTTATATTAATTTAAGATAAGATGAATATGTTAGAAAGTAACACAAATATTATGTAAAAAAATTACACAAAAAAGGATAATACTGAAATAATTTGTAAGCAAACTGTGGAAACACATATTTTTTCAGTAAAAATTAATATTTATGATATGTTTTTCAAATTTTATTCATTTATCTTAGAATTTACGTTTTAAAGTATATTATTTTTACGTTATTTATTCACTTATTCATACATTGTGTTACTTTGACTAAGAAATATTGAATATCAATTTAACACAAAATATTTAAACTTTATGTTATTTAAATATTAACATAATATTAATTAACATAAACATTATGTTAAATCAAGACTCAAACATGTTAAAAATTTAACACAAAATTTTAACAAGGATTTGAGTGAACCATTTTCAACACAGATACAAAATGTTTTTTACCATGTAACAAGTTAACGTCATTTGTCCTCATTGTATTATTTTTCGTCAAAATGATGTCAGTTTAGTTTATTATCTGGGATATTACAGATGTAGAATCGTACGTTGTAAATAAAGTATTTTCGATTGCAATTAGGACATTTCGATGCGTATTCGGTAAAAAGAAAAGGGGCATGATACATAAGAGACGGACTTCTTGGCTCAACATACGTCGTCACACCTGACGTCACATACTCGTTAGGGGGCAGATGGCCCCCCTCTCAAGCGTGACGTTGGTTCACGGGGTACCTGGCGGCGTCTATCTATAGGACCTTCCCCTTACTCTTTGCTTCTTTCTTTCTCTCTCGCTCTTTTCGACATCCCATAAGGTAAGGCAAAATAAAATAAAACTCCCGAAGGGAGTTCCCTTCGCGCACACACGCGCAGCTGCTCAGGTAGCACGAGCTACTTCCACATTAGAGGACGGAACTGCCATGGGGTGTCCCACTGGTACCCCATAGAAATTCCGTCTGGCCAGACGCTCCCTCGGCGCGTATACGCTATCGAGGGGGAGCGAGCAAGAAAAAAGAAAGAGGTTATCAAGGTGACGGAGCTACGATCGATTTGTAGAGGTATTAGTATACGGAAACGATTCGCGCGTGCATATACAGGGAACGCGATCCCCGCACAGAGGGGAATGTACTTCCGAATGCCACTATGTATCCACATTTGTCACGCATCGGAAGGCATACACGCGCGCAATTATTTCCAAAGTGAAAAGAGAGTACGTGTTTCCATTATATTTTAGAAAATATTTGTAAATATACATGAAATGTCAATATAAATATATTTTGTATTCTTTAAATTATTTTATTCCTTAACATAGCTTCGATAGATAAACTCTATCGCTACTAAAACAAATTTACTGTTGCTTCTTAATTACAAGATCATTTTTCCAATGATTAAATGAAAAGAGTAGAATTCTTTTTTTTTTTTTTACATTATTTAGTTGCCAAATTTTTCTCAAATATGCTTCTAAAAGTTTTTTCCTATCAATCAAGTTCGTCAAAAATCTTTTCACAGAAAATAACGATTTTAGACGCTTTACACGTAAAATATATTAAGCTATTGACATATATATAATTTAATCTTTATAGATTTTTGTATGAACTGATTTCCTGCACAATATATCCATAGACGAGTAATTGGCACAAGCGGAATGATCAATGAGGCCGTCGATGTGTCGACAAAGATTTCTGGACAATCATAGATGGACATCATTGTGTACTCTAATTTGACCTAAAGCTACCGAGCTGTCTTGTTAGCGTGACAAAAAGAAATAACTAAAGAAATTTTCCTTTCCCGATGCCCCCCAACCGATCATCTTTACGAACTGTGAAGGGCCAACAGCAGCCTAATTGTGACGAACACGCAGTAGAAAAGATTTACAAGGTAGCAAACGAGCGTGGTCACTAGCTTTGTATACATGTATTTCTGCACGAGAAGTGATCTCTCAAATGATCTCTAAACGTTCAATAACGAGGTCTCGATCGGGTAGGCCTTTTCACGCCTCTGTTAAAAGAGAAGGCAAGGCCGGGCAGACGATTTTTGTCGCCGCTCGTAAATCCGACTAATTCTCAGCACGAGACATCCGGTCTGGCCTGCCGGGAAGGCGTCGCGGGGGCGTTTCGTGTGGTAAACATAATGTCGAGCCTGTAAAACCTGTCCCTGTCCCCTTTACACGTTAGCATCCCTTCTTCTCGTTTCTTCGCAGCGCGTGCCAGACTGTGGCTCGGCGAATCGCAGCTTTTCCACCGACAACACCTGGACATATATTTCCCTCTTCGCAGCCTCTTCCTCTTCTAGAGTTACGCGTTCTACTTTCATTATGTCTTTCGTGACGTTTGTTGTGTCATCCCCGTTGCATCAGTCATCAAAATAAATTCTTACGCACGTAAGAATCTTTACGATTATTTAACATTAAAAATGAGAATTGGTTAATATTAAAAAAAATAATTCTCCATCATTGTATATTTATAGATAAAGTAAATTAATAATTAACTAACAATTTATAAAAAAATATATTTTCTTTTTCTGTCGCGATTCGTGTTGTTAAATTATCAATTAAATTACACTTACGATAAAAGTAATTTTGATCAAAAGAACGAAAATACTAAATAAATAAAAATGAAAGTGGTTTCCTCGTTTATGTGTTAAAAATTTCAGCTTCCGCGGCAACATAAAAATACTTTATGGCAAATGTATCGGTAAAAGTAGAATTTATGCGTTTTCTCAGAGCACACCAATGCACAGCATTATCCCTTGGCGTATCGCTATCCACCCACTCGAGTCGCCGCTCGTGCGCGCTTAAATCGTACGATCTCTCGGCACGAGGCACAATGAAAGAGTAAAAAAAACTAGACGAACGAATAAAGTATTAGGGAGCGATCAGAGGGAAAAAAAAACGTAACTGTTGTCGATACCTGCGCTTCCCCTGGTCGTCGTTAAGTGCGGAATTCTGTTCGCGGCAGATTGGTCGATCCTCTCAACGGTATCCGGCACCAATTTCGAGGCTCTCGTCTATAACGGAAGATTAAAAGTACTAATAACGTACGCAAGCGGGAGAACCGTTCACGGGCTGCGATCTACCGCTACACATCGTCTTTCGCCGCATGACGCACAATGACTTCCGAAACATATGTCGAACGACGTTCTTCCTTCATTCTCTCGACGCCGACCCGCATCGAGATGCGTTATTAACGTGCGTGAGGGGGTGGCGAGAACGCAGGAGCGAGAGAGTTTTGTCGGTCGAGCGACCGCTTCTAAAGAAAGAGAGAAATATGTCGGAGACGAGGGAACGCAGGAGGGGTGAGAAAATCCATTTTCACGTTTTAGACCGCCATCGGTTTATAAGACACGTGGGTGGAAGAAGGCGGGTAGAGCACATAAGTGGGAAATCGAGCCATCTGGTTTCAGGCTGCGGCCTATACTACTGTTTGAAAGGTATGCTCCGTCGTGAGGGTTCTTTAAATCCACCAGAGATACACACCTTGAGACCTGTCCCGGCCAAGGACCCTCGACCGCTTGGCTCTTTAAATCGACACCGAAGCGAAGACATCGAGGCGCCCTCGCGTCCCTTCCGTCGCCCAACCGAGGGTAACCGGGGATAAATAGTATAGCTTTTTTCATTTCCGACTACACTCACGTGTATTCTTTCATTCAGCCTTAATTAAGCTCAAACTGGACGATCACATCTCAATTTGTATTATGCTCAATAGTCTTAATGCTATCTGAAAAAGCTCGCTTACTTGCGAAAGTGATGCCATTGTATCTCACGGATGGATAATAAATTATATCCACCTAATTAATTTTTTTATAATATCGTAAAATAAATATTTAATGTGATAACCCAATGTGGCTCAATACAGTCTCAGAAACAATTCATACTATCGTAAGCCAGACAATCCTTCCAGTACCTATCGATCATATGTGAACTGCAGAGTATTCGTGTTGTTTGCGTGGAAGATCAGAATAGTGTTGACAGTCGACCGACAAAGCCAAATTAATTTGCAAATCGCTGTTCAAGCGGATCAGAGAACATTTCGCCTACTACGATCATAAGGAGACGGTCGTACATCGAATGGAGAAGATGGTACGTGAAAAGAACAATGAAGAAAAGATGCATCGTCTTCGAGTGTATATCAGAAGATTGGAAAAAACTACAGTTTTAGATGATACCAACATCTCTAATTCGGCCCCGTAATTCCCATTATATCTTATCCACGACTTTTCTCTCTTCTTTTTTATTATAGGCTTTCTACAATAAACCATTACCTAAGCCTTAAGGTCTTAAGACTATTCTCATATTTGACTGGTTGATGATCGGTCGATTTCTTACGTTTATGACTTAAAGCTTAATGGCTTATTGTAGAAAGCCTCTAACAGATAGCGATTCTTCAACAACCCACTATGGATCACTATCGCATATCCACGGACGAACGAAGAGTGCATCGTAAAGCTTTCATTGTCAGTCGTTCATAGTATACCGCCGTCATGCGAGCCCAATGACGCACGTGGAGCACGCGTAAAGGGTCGATTCGTGGGGACGAGCTGACAGTGAGTCTCTTATTAGGGTAGGAGTCAGCAAGCATGATTATGTACCTTAGAGCGTCTCCGTTTTCCCCCTTTAACCCCTTCTCCCTTCCATATTTGACATCCTTCTTTCTTTCTCCAATGACTCGACGCCCGGCGTCATCCTTGACGTCGCACGACGACGAAGCAGTCACCACGACGCGAAGCTGCATTGTCAACCCCCGACTGTGTTCATATATGCATGCATTGGCGTAGAGCGACGAGAAATTGTCGAAACGGTACGATTACAATAGGCGATTGGCGCTTCCGCTTTGCTTTCGTGCGAACAGGAAGTAAGTTTTCCGAGTCGCGAGATTCTCACGAATTGAGTTAATATTCAACGATATATACTTACGTTGTACGTTGCCGTGGCGGTGCGAAAGGTGCCGTCCCCTGAAAAACAAAAAGAATAATTATATTAATTACATCTCCAAATATCTCCAAATATTTTTACATGTATTTTATTATTATAGTTATAATTTGTTATCACTTGTATTGTTAAACCGCATATCGTTTTATCAGACTCTTTAATGGCTAATTCGCCAATTCACCCTTCAAATTTTAATTTTTAATAATATAAAAAATAAAAATATTTAGCGTTTTTGTTTTTATCTATTTTAATGTTCTCTAGTGGTTTTGTTGTTATTCATACAGTTCTCGTGGCTAAAGTAATTTTATGGAAGAAGCTGTTATATGCTAAAAACTTTTAGGGATTCCACACACAGCACACACACACACACACACACACACACAACAAAACATTAACAAATTTGTAAAAGTGAAATTGCCGAGAACTAAGCCGTACTTCTCGAAATTTGCATATCTACCTCGCCAATGCCGCCCAAGGCGATATTGTCGTCACAATGAAACCCTCTCCAAAGCTCGCCACCATCCCCAACACAATTGCACGGACTGTGCAACGCGCGCGTGTCGGCGACGAGCTTTTGCCTCGCGTCACACGTGCCAAAGTTCACGAATTTCGATCGCGCATAAATATCGAGGCGATATAAATATAGCGCTGCGTTCTCTACCGAGATTCCTCGCAATATACTCCACAACCCAAAATAAAGGCATTCCCTTGCGCAACGGGTTATTTAATCGGAAACACATAAAATTGAAAATGGAAAAGTATCCTTTGTATATTTACATTAATAAATTGCAATTTGAAGCGTCTCTTTACAACTTTCATTTCTATTGATTTATTTTTATAATGATATAGCTCTCGTATAATAAAATACCTGTATGAAGAAATTAATTTGTGACATGCTTCAAATATCGATAACTTGACTTTATTATCCGAAACTCTAAGTATGACCACCTATACTTCCATTCACTGCATTGTTTCGACTGGAATGCACGAGGAAGGATCGAGGAAGTAGAAGTCAGGAGGACGAGAGCCAAGGAGATCGTAGGTGTGAGGTACTGTTCGAAGCTAGTATCTGAGACAGTTTCGGTCGGCAAGATTTAACAAATAGGTAAAGTTTCGTCGCGAGGATGTCGGAGTTTGTGGATTCTCCGGCGTAGCCTCGACATCCTCTCTCCTCTTTGTTCTCAAGTTTATGATGTATTAGCTGTTCCCTGTTGTGCCCGTACCTCGCTCTTTCTCGTTCTTTCCCTATCCATCTTCTAGCGTTCCTTTCCTCCACCATCAACTACGTCTACTCTCTAGAGTTAGCCAATTTATGCAGCTCCGGGATTTAAGTTACAGAGTGAATTTAACTTGCAATATTAGAAATAATAGAAGAACTCCATTACAAAATCTTTTCTCAAAATGACAGAAACCGTATGATTAAAAGAAGACAAAAAATTTTATTACTTTAATTTTAGAGAATAATTAAAGAATCTTTTTGACATACACACAGTAACAATTTTTAATATTTTACCTGTAGCAGTAAAGAACAATATTTTCATCTCCACGAATCGTCACCAAATAGTCGATATTTTGAAAATTTTGGCCTGTCTTGCCGTGGCACGCAGACGCCACCGGGATTGCTGTCCCGGGATTAATAAACTTCGTCGCGTTTCGGCTTAGCCCGTGGCGTAACTCCGTGCGGAGAAAATCAATACCCGATACACATCCCAAAGGTCCGCTTATACTTGTCGCGCTATCTCGCTTTTATCTCGATCGTATCTCGCATATTGGCGTACGCCTAGCGTCTACACGTACATCACGCCACGTTCACACGGACACGCGGACACGGAGAGAGGACACGCGTAACGCGCCCTGGCGAACATACGTATCGGCGCCGCCGCCCACACATCGTTTCCCACACCCTCTCACGGGCTCTCTTCGGGGTGACAGATGGCTTTGTAGACAAAGAACTTAGCCGACTGGTTTTCGTGGACGTTGCGTAACCCGATAAAAGCAAACCCAAGTCGATCGTTTCGACATGGCGAAGTCGCCGTACTCTGAAGAGAGCGCTTCCCCGGCTCTTCTCTAAAACGCGCAGTGTGGGGCGGTACGATGGGGTTGAAAATCAAATCTGAGTGTCTCGATGGAAATCTTTGTCCAGTCAAGATTACTCTTAGCCTCCCGCTTCGCGACTCCATCGCTCTCCTCGTTCCGTCCATCACCCCTTTAATCATCAATCAGATATTCCCCTTGCGATGGGTTGGCGAACCGTGTTGATCACGACTGAAGCGCACTTTGGTGCCGTTCTACGGTGATTAGACGATTAGGAGCGTCCTTTGCTGGAAGGCATATTACGATCGTTGAGTATAGAATTAGCCGCGGCCATTGTGCGCGAAATGCTATTGACGCTCTTGCGTGCCCGCGTTAAACTCTTTCTATCGTCATGGCATAGCTCAACGATGTTGCTACGCGTAATAGACTTAAAAATAGTTTCTAACGTGACCGTCGAGGGAAGTATGCACGCCGATATATCAACGAGCCTCACAGTTATGACGTACGACGCGCATTGTTAGAAACAGATTTATAATTAGTTTCCTGTTGTTGCGACACCGCGTAAAGTGTACGTACGCGCTCGTTAGATTGTAGAGCCAGCTTTGACGATTTAGCTTTCGATATGCTTGTTTGAGCATTGACACAATATTTCTGGATATAGATTATATACATATTATATACGTTGTTCACTGTACATGCTGCATCATTTGTGTTGTACGAATGTTGTACGAATTAGTATATACGAAACATTCATTCGTTAAATTCGTAGAATAATACAGTCGTTGGCTATCACGTAGTCATTTGCCATTCTGAGCTTGTAAATATTTCATTGCGTTAATTCCTATTAATATGTTCTGCATATGCTAATTTTTGTTTCCAAACTCGCTATATTTCTTTAAACAAATATAATACATTTATCAGCATTAAAAATAATTTAAATGCATTTGTCAGTATTAAAAATAATTGAAATTGTAATCAATACTTGTTTATTTAGCTTATATTGAACGCAAAAGCGTTTTGATAATTTTCAAGTAATGCTTAGAGAGATACAAATGATTATATATCTTAATTTAAACAAATCAGTTCTGTTCGAAAAATGTTAGTTTAATCATCGATTAATACATACCGTGTATAATATTATATTAATTGATCTTTTGTAACAAATGTTCTTCTTTTTCCTAATAATAATGATAATAAAGTTATTGAGCTTTCATCGATTTTATGCCACAATAAGAATCCACAAAGACTTGCTTCAATCAAACGATGTCTCATATCACACGAGGAGATTAGTTTTTGGGTTCTCGTCTTACGTTCTATACATGATTAAGATGCGAGCATGCGTGCGTGGTACGCACACGCGTGCATGCGAAAAAGGGGCGTCGAATCGATGGGTGGCACAATAGGCACGTGGCAGAATCTAATCATCACAGAAGCCTCAGGGTGAGTTTCTATGTTTTTTTTTAAGTTTCTTATTCAGCGTGTTAACTCTCTGGAAATTTATTAATTCGGATCAGCGTCAGATCAATACATTGTGTGGCGATTGTCTCTCTTTCACTTGCACGAAGCATCTAATAAAAAGCAGATGAGTAATAATCACGGTTCAAATAAACACATTTCGCTCCAGAGAACAGAAGATACGGAATTATAGATTTTAACTGGCATTCTCTCTTCTTTCTTAAATTAATCTGGTTTCAATAAACCACGATAGGGAGTGTTAATTAGCAAAATAAAAGCAAAGTCCTCGTTGGAATGAAAATTCTATCCTGAGATAGAGACGACTCGATAGAAATAAATCTGTCAATACGCTTGTAAAGTTAAGAACGAATATAACTCTTTTACAATTAAATATGTATTACCCGGATGCCGCATGCCAAATGTATCTTTGTTGTACATTGTCGCCTATCGAGAAAGTCATATATCTAAAGTTAGTATTTGATAATTAACTTCACATTCGATTAAGCGTCTATCGTACACGAGAGACTCGGTACTTGTATCTGAAAGCGAGCTACGAACATGTGGCCTCCGCCTCAGGAGACGCCCCTTTCGTATAATCATCAAAGCGGCAATGGAATATTTCGATCGTGACAGAAATGGGATAGATAAATAATGAGCGAAGTCTTCAAAAGAATCATACACAAGAATTTACATTTAAATTTCATATTATATGTTAAATTTTGCCATAGTAATTTGTGATACACTTTTAATACAGTCGCTAAATTTCAAGGCAGCAACATGCAAAGAGTATTTCGTAATAACGTCTGAGCCTCTTAGGTTTGCAGAAGCGATTCACGGCAAAGTTATACAGGATTTCTGCGGTTATCAGTGTTAAGTATCCTGGTGCGGGACCTGGATTTCCTTGTAGGAAGGACGAAGCAACAAGTGGCTTCTTAGCTCGGACAATCTTAGCTCGATGCTCAACAAGTGTTTCCAAGTAAGCACACATCTTGAGTGTGTCCCTTGAGTACAAATCTGCATCGCGAAACAATTTTTCTCTTAATCGTCACTATTATGTTATACAATAACAGTATACTATAATTCCACAAACACATATTTTACAAATTTAAAACTTTAATTCGATTTATGAAAACGGCGTTAAAATATAAGACGTATTAAATAAACAAATGACGTTTTAGTATGAAAAATTTTGTAAAAGTATTATCTGTCTGTCAATAGTAGATTTCTAATTATATATAGCCAATTTAAATATAAATTTAAACGGATGTTTAATAATAAATTACATAGAATATTTACAAGACCAAATATTACTGTATTTTCGATATATAATTTGAATATTTGATCAGTTTTAATTTTATCGAATTACATAAAGAGGACAACTTTTTCAAACACGCAAAATACGCGCGGTCTCATAAATTAACTTATAAAGATAGAATCCAAACAACAGAAAAAGCATACTCGTATTTCTTTATGGAGTGGTTCGATTTATTGTTTTCCAAGTTGTCGAGATATAACGAAATAATACACGTTATAA